GCGTTTACTTACTATCTTCTCACTTCTCCCTTTGTGTTCATGATGCAAAACTCACTCCGCACACCAGCGCGTTCGTCGGCATGGGCACCATGGCCGTCCTCTTTCCCATCTCGGGCATCGCCGCGCGTCTGCTGCAGCGTATCCAAGTGGGACGGATCAAGGCCGCGGATGCGCGCGTAGGGGCGATCAGTGAGAGTGAGTCCTTTGTTATTTATTTTATTTCGCCTCGCCTCCCTTTTTGTTTTCATTTTCCTTGCTGACGCCGACCACCCCAGCAATGAATGTCCTGCGCATGATCAAGCTCTTCGGCTGGGAATCCAAGATGCTCGCGCGCGTGAATGAGAAGCGCGAGGAAGAGCTGCTCTGGATCTGGAAGCGCGAGATCTTCGAGTGGGTCGCGAATACCGTCAACAGCTGTATCCCCATCGTGACGATGCTCGCTACTTATGTTACTTTGTGCGTGGTTCCTCTCCCCTTTATTTGCTTCCCATCCCGTCCCTGCTCTCGTCCAACCCCTTCCCTTCTTCTACTTCATATTCATACTGACGCTGACTCGACTTTTTGTTCTAGTGTCAGTTCTCTGTTCGTCATTCAAAGACACCATGACTGACAGCTAGATACACATGCACAGACGGTCATCATGAAGCAAGAGCTCCGCCCGTCGATCGTGTTCAGCACGATGCCCGTGTTCGACATGCTCCGCAATCAGCTGCACATGTTCAACTACAGGATTATCCAATTCATCGATGCAAAAGTGTCCGTGAGTCGAGTCGAGTTTTCCTTTTTGTTTTTCTATTCGACTTGGAACCGTGCCGCTGATTCGTTCGTTCTCCCAGCTGGACAGGATCAATAATTTCTTGCACAACGTAAGTGCCTCGGTCCAGGCATCTCATTTCCATTCGTACCCTGACAATAAACTCTAAAAACAGACGGAGCTCCTCGACCAATTCGCCGACGCAAACGACAACCCGGCCGCCGAATTCCTCGCATCGCAAGAAATCGAAGAACTTGAAACAGCATCCCCGGAATCTGAAGAAATCGGCTTCCGCGACGCGACCTTTACGTGGTCGAACGACATCGACGGGTCTGTTACGCCGCGCGATGGGGCCGCTACGCCTACGTCCTCGTCGTTCTCGACGGCTGTGAAGGAACAGCAGCATCGGTTCCGACTTCGCATTGACGACGAGCTGTTGTTCAAGAAGGGGCGTTTTAATCTTGTGGTGCGTTGGTTGGCTTTTCCTTGCTGCGACTTTCGACACGGCGGTCGCTGATTCATTTCGCCGTAGCTCGGCCCGACCGGTGCGGGAAAGACATCGTGAATCCTCCCCTGCTTTGCATCCTTTTTATTTGCTCACTAATCCTATCCCTAGGTTGCTCATGGCGCTCCTCGGTACGTCACCCACAAACTCGTCCTCGGTTCTCATGATACAACTGACTGCCCTATCTCAACAGGCGAAATGCACTTCACCCCTGCCTCCCCGCGCTCGTGGTACAACCTGCCCCGCGGCGGGGGCGTCGCCTACGCCGCGCAGGAATCGTGGGTCCTCAACGAGACGATCCGGGACAACATCCTCTTTGGCTCTCCGTACGATGAGGAGAGGTACAAGAAGGTGCTGTACCAGTGTGCCCTAGAGCGGGACCTGGAGCTGTTCGAGGCGGGAGATGCGAGCGAGGTTGGGGAGAAGGGTGCGTGGGCGTCTGATTGTGCCGAGTGCGCATTCTAACGGAGCGTGATTGCAGGTCTCACGCTGAGTGGCGGTCAAAAGGCGCGCTGCACCCTGGCGCGGGCGGTTTATTCAAAGGCGGAGATTCTGTTGCTGGATGATGTGCTTGCTGCGCTTGAGTAAGTCGAATGATTGGTATGTGTTGTACCTATGTTGATGCTTGACAGCGTCCACACCTCAAAATGGATCGTCGAAAAATGCTTTAGCGGGGACCTCATCAAAGGGAGGACTGTTATCCTCGTCGTACGTCGTCTCATCTGGAATATAAATCAACCATTGATATGCTACCGATTTAGACCCACAACGTAGCGCTTGCCGCGCCCATTGCCGATTTTACCATCTCCATCGGCTTGAATGGGCGGATTATGAGCCAGGGCTCGGTCGCACAGGCGCTGCAGCATGATATCCGGCTCGCAGAGGAAGCGAACGCGGACCTGCAGGTGATGGAGCAGGTTGTGGATGCGGCGGAGACCGCTGAACTGAAGCCGGCCGACGCCAAGGCGGACGCTAAGACCGATGGGAAGCTGATCCTTGCCGAGGAAGTGCAGTTGGGGAGGGTGCGATGGTCGGCTGGTGAGTGTTCCTCATTTTTCCACCGTGTAACTGTCTGGCTGAATGAGTGCGCATTCCAGTGGGCCTGTATCTACATGGTCTCGGTGGCTGGGGATTCTACGCCATCTTCCTTGGGTTCTATACCTTCTCGCATCTTGCTCAGGTCTACGAAACGTGGTATCTCGGATACTTCGCGTCGCTATATGAGACGAGTCCGCCAGGTTCGGTGTCCGTATCCTAGTGAGTCGACTATCCATTCGGTGGTTGCTGCGAGGTCTGAACACATTTATTTTCTCCTAGTCACATCGGGGTGTACGCTCTTATCACTCTGGTCGATATCATCGCGCACTCCTGGGCGGACATCGTCTTCGCCTATGCCGTCCTGCGGGCCTCAAGAGGTATTCATCGGCAGCTCATCGAGTCTATCCTCGGAACGACGCTGCGGTGGATGGATATCACCCCCGCCTCCCGCGTTATCGCGCGTTTCACAGCCGACATCACCGCTGTCGATGGCCCCATCCTCAACGTCTTTGCAGGCTTCTGCCACGTCACGATTTCGATGATCACTTCCTTCGGCGCCGTCGTGTTTTTAACCCCGTTGTTTTCAATTCCAGGAGCGTTGGCGGCGCTTATCGGAGGCACGTTCGGGCAGCTGTTTATCAAGGCTCAACTTTCGGTGAAACGGGAAAGCAGTAATGCGAAGGCACCGGTACTCGGGCAGTAAGTGGACTGGTTGTTCGTCTTTCACTGTTGTAGTGCTAATGATCGACAGCTTCAGCGCGGCTATTGCAGGACTAAGTACGTTTCTACAGAATCAATCCATGTTTGTTGACTAACTGGACGCAGCTTCCATTCGAGCTTATGGCGCCCAAGGCGCATTCATCAAGGAATCCTTGCGTCGTATAAACAACTACACAAGAGCCGCCAGGGCGCTTTCCCTCTTGGATCGCTGGGTTGGTGTTCGACTCGCAGCAGTAGGAAACATTCTCGCTGCGATACTGGCGACATACCTTGTGTACTTCCGCCACGTAATCCTCCACTATTTTGGCTGCTCTCTGGTTCTGATCGTCTTCTACAATAGGAACAATCCAACAACGTGGGCTTCAGTCTGAACATGGCAGCCGGATTCAGTGCCCGAATTCTGTTTTGGGTAAACTGGCCGACGATGGGCGTTTGACCAAAGCTAACTAACATTTTGAATAGGTTCGAATTTGGAATGATGTGCAAATCCAAGGTGGCTTTCTTTCTCCATGTTCTTCACGCGCTTTCTAACTCACCATGCGTTCACAGGAAACAGGTATTTATTTCTGCTCGCCATTCGACATCGTCTAACATTTGACGACTCGGAACGTAGTTTGGAGCGAATCCAGCAGTACATTCATATTGAACAAGAAAAGAAACCTACGGAAGCTGGGAAGCCTCCCGCGCACTGGCCCAGCAGCGGCGAGCTCGTGGTCGAGAAATTATCGGCGCGATATTCGCCAGATGGCCCCAAGGTCCTGCACGATATTTCTTTCCGTGTGAATTCCGGCGAGCGTGTGGGGATCGGTGCGTTACATTCTTGCTGCGGTTTCCGCATTCTCTGAATGCGGCACTTACAGTGGGCCGCACCGGATCTGGAAAGGTTCGCCATATTTTTCGATTCGTTCTGGTAGCTGAATCGTTACTTCCAGAGCTCGTTGACCCTGGCCCTGCTGCGTTGTATCTACACGGAGGGAACGGTTCACTACGACGGGATCCCGACCGCTTCCATCAACCTAGACGCTTTACGTTCGAATATCACGATCATTCCGCAGATGGTCAATTTCATTCAACCTCGTAACATTAACAATACTGACACCGTCTCCAGCCGGAACTGCTGTCCGGGACTTTGCGTCACAATCTCGACCCCTTCGGACAGTACGACGACGCAACGCTGAACAGTGCGCTGCGTGCCGCCGGGCTGTTCTCTCTCCAGGAGGAGATGGAGGAAGGGCGACTTGTGCTGGACAGCGTCATTTCTTCCGGTGGGAGCAATCTCTCCGTTGGTCAACGACAAATCCTCGCGTTGGGTGCGTAGTCAGACCTCCGATATCTCTCTCTTGTGATTGTACTGACTTTTTGCGCAGCGCGCGCGATCGTCCGCGAGAGCAAGCTGCTTATTCTGGATGAAGGTACCGTCGACGCCTCGCATCTATGGACTCGTACTAATAACCTGACCAGCCACGTCTGCAATTGACTACAAGACGGACAGTATCATCCAGACATCCTTGCGCACAGAACTCAAGCCGGATGTTACGGTCATCACTGTCGCCCATCGCTTGCAGACCATTTTGGACTCTGACAAAATTGTGAGTGGCTCCCTTTGCTCCTTCCCTGATTACTGAGCTTTTTTCGCGTAGATGGTGCTCGATGAGGGCCGTATTGTCAGTGCTTTCCTTCGTATTTAATATCCACTGGACTGACATGGACTTCGCAGGTCGAGTTCGATGCTCCCAAGGAATTGCTTAAAAACCCGAAGGGCAAGCTCCGAGCGTTGGTTGACGAGTCTGGGGACAAGGACAACTTGTACGCGATGGCGGAGGGCAGAAGTACCCATTAAAATTTCCAGACATAAAAATGTATCTAATGGTTTACATCCCTTTGCAAACATGGGCGGTGCGGTGTATTCAGTAGGTAGAATAGGATACCAGGCACCAAGAAAGTGGCAGTGGTTGAAGGTTTTTTGTGTCTGGGGAAAAAGAATGAGCACGGCAGGACTCGAACCTGCAGCCTTTTGATGGCACCCGAAAGACAATCGAAGTCAAACGCGCTACCATTGCGCCACGCACCCGTTAAGTGTGTGCTATCTTTGTGGTTTATTAGAGACCACCCACTTTCACCTTTTCTTTCCTATGCGAGTGAGATGACCATCCTCCATTCGAAAAAGAATTGCGAGAATTGGAGCCAGTGCACTTACTAGGGTAGGGCCGGGGCTGTTAATACATGTGTTTTGCGCTAATGGGAAATCTCGACACGGAATTCGTTGGCGAAATGGAAACTCATCACCAAAAGCGGGAGAAGTATGTAAGGCCTTGTAAGGCCTCGCAAACGTCCAAAAAGTGATAAAAGCTTCGCAAAGATACATCTGCTTTGTGGCCACTCAAACAGGTTTAGGCTGGAACTATTTTTTTACGAAGATGCCGAAAAGCTTCGCAGACCTTTGGTCTGGTATGTGTATTTACATATCACTTTCCAATTTCGGGCAACCACCTGTCTACTGGTAAACTTGACAAAAAGCTGCTACGGTCCTAAAATCACACCAAAGCTTTGAAAGGACGAAAACAATAATATACAAATAGGTTACATTGCACCGTACCGGGAATACATGGAGTATGTATGCGTCACGTACGAGCTAGTGACTGCGGCAACGACGCGGGCCAAAAATGGACATACACACGCGCATGCAATATCTCGAGACCACTTGCGGAGTGCGGCAGCGGCAGCGACAGTGGAGATGAGGTCGGAAGGGAAGACAGGGCAGGGGGCAGGAGCTCGAGTTTGTAGAGCCTGAAAATAAAGCAGGCTTCGAGAGGTGGGGACACAGAAAGCTTGATAGCACGACTTGACCGCACAGGTCTTGACTCGCGAGTGAACACAACATGCTTGAGCACAACACTTGGATCTTGAAGTGTTTGATACTTGATAAAGCTTCAGAAGCTTGAGAACAGCATGGGACTTGCGACTAGAGTCTGGAGAAGTCCTTGAGGCCGACGCCGCACCATGCAAGCAACAAGAAGAGAGAGTGGGGTGGTCTTGATCATGACGGCATGGTTTGAGAGAGCAGTGAAGAGACCCTGATTTCAATCGGCGCTCTTCATCGTGTCCTTGTTCGGAGAGACGGAGGGATTCAAGAGGGAAGATGGTGGGCGAAAGCAAGGAAGGAACAGTCATCGATCAATGACTCACCAACCACCTTGATGGCTATCCACGTGATGGTTTCATCTTGTGATCCGAGCGATCGCAGTGATCACCGATCGCGCTTCGGCAAGGGACTTAGAAATTTTTGCGAGTCGCGCTTACAGTAAGTGGCCATTGAGCCCCCATTCGCTGGAACTGCACCCAACTGTTGCAATGGCCTTTCAGTTAACCAATTTCAGCACATTCAACATTGTTACAGCTTCTAGGAGGAACGCTCAGCGTTCTACTAGTAGTTTGGATGGGATATACTTAGATGGGCAGCAAATGGGCAGTACTTACTGTGCAAAGACGACTCATGGTGTTCCACAACTCTGTAAAAAGTTGAAAAGGTTGCCATGTGAGGTACAAGGCAATACAACGTGGTCAAAATGGTGATGCAAGCAATACAAAGACTTTGCAAGCGATGTGGAACATTGTAACGCTCTAAAAAGCATTTTGTGGGTTTGCAAACATATTGAATCCCTGCCAGTCACAATGCATATCATTTTGAACCTTTCCATACCTTCGTAGATGGCCATCAAGCCGACGGAGTTTACATAGGCTTACAAATAACTCCCACTTTTGGTGATGGCCTATACTCAAGTTGAACATCAAGGCGAGTTGTCGAACAGTCTTAGCACCATGTGATCTTCGACGCACTTCATAGAACTTTTAGAAGGCCAAAAACCGCAAATTTAACTCACGATAGACCCGGGATTTGCCTCCTTTGATCCACGCCATCCGAAAACTTCAAGGCTGTTCAATATTAGGGGCCGCTGGGTGAGATCGCCGTCGCCGTCGATCGATCGACTCAGAACAGCTTTTCGTCGATTGAATCCGCGGTGGTTCTCATTGGGCCTTCAGCATATTTAGCCTCACTCCCTCCTCATTGCAATTGTCCGAGTTAATAATTTATGCAACGTTCTCACCGGCGAAGTTTTGTGGCGTAATTTAATCCATCGAATGCCTGCCAATTTTCAATTTACATCCGAGGAGTTTCTGTGTCTCACTTCTATAGGTGCGGAGCCGCAAAACTTAATCGGGGGGCCGGCTGTACAGCCCGCGGTACAGCCATGCCAAGCCCGACATTCAGATCGCTTCCGCACATCTATAAAAGCAGGGTTACCCGACTCTAATACTACACAATGGCTCCTTCAACCACAACAAAGACGTCACGCACTCAGGCTTGGTTGGCTCTTGCGGCAGACGTAGCCCTTCTCCCCAGCATCAAAGTCGGGTCTGCGTCACTGCGTAAACGACTGCGGTCTTCTTCGACCTCTACGCATCCACGGGAACCAGTCGTACCCGCACCAGCCATAACATCCCCGCGTCCCACTCCGCAGTGCCCTCGCAAGTCCGCACTGAAGCAGCCATCACGCGATATTCCAATTCGCCGGGCGTCCTGCCCATGCTACCTCACCTCCTCCTCATCCAACACCCTAGACATCGACGAGAGCACTTCTTCGGACGACGAAAAGTATCCGGTGACCCCTGATGGTGAGTTTCACCGTTTATTTTGTCTTACTACAATTTGTAACGCGACATGTAGACGCTTCCCCGCCCGCTTCGCCGACTTTAAAAATGTCTCCATACGCCCTGCTGGATCGTGTCCGGCAAATCCAAATTTTCACACCATCACCTCGTCGCAGACGGGTTTCGCGAGTTTTCCCGCACCTCCCCCCGCCGCCAGATTGGGACGAGGTCTCCATCACCGTAGAGTCCGATGACTCCGACGATGAGGTTTCATTTTCACCCCTGACGCGGAAGGTGCGATTTGTGGTACCTGCCTCGCCGCCGCCGCCCTCTCCGGAGCCTGAGCTTGAGGAGCCCGCATGGTGTGATTTCATGGTGCGTCACTCTTTCCTCTCCTTTTATCGCCTGAAATAATGTTCTTATCCGTCCAGTGATCACTGATACCCCCTTACCTCTCTGTTTTCGCTGTTTTCATTGTTTTCGCTGTTCTCGTGCTATCTACTGTTGTATTTTATTTCACTTTACCAGCCATGTTTGTTCTCAGGAATAAACACACGGGAAAAATCTATTCGGTCTTATCGCAGTCGAACGGGAATTAACATGCATGAGTTTGTATGTGTTTAGCTCAGTCTTGGACGCGTGCAATGATCACGAGGTATCACATGTCTTTTCGTCGATGAGGCGAAGAAGTGACCGTTCTCACTCGCAAAACACGACCTCTCATTTTCATTTTCGGGTATGATTCTCTGCACGCATCGGGTTTTGCCACCGCGTTCTGCCTATCGACGAGCTTGGAAATGTCACCAACTCGTCGCCCGCATCTTGCGGCGATATTAGGGACAGTCAGAGTAGACGATTCTCGTCGATTCTGACAGTCGATTCTCAAAACAATTCTGTGAAATGTTGGCATCAGAATCATGTGTAGAATCGTCCCAGGTTTGACCGCCCCACTTTCAAAAGCGATTCTCGAACGATTCTCTAAAAATAGTCAAGTCCACGAAGTGAGAATCGCAATCGCAATCGAGAATCGATTCAGAATCTCCTCCAGAGTCGCTTCTACATTCGAAGTCGATTCTGATTTTCGGCGCTTCTCCCACGCTTTATTTATTCATAATCGTTTTGCGAATCGACTGTCAGAATCGACGAGAATCGTCTACTCTGACTGTCCCTATTCCGAATCACGACGATGCAGGAGTGCCCGCTTGTTCCCGGATGTCGAGCGGCTCGACATCCTTCTGTTTTCATTCCCGATCCATCCGACTCACTACATAATTCGTCGACGAGCAACTTGTTTCTCCCTCATGGCTACTCTGAGACTGCGGCGCACAACATTTCAACCAGCCAGTAACTGTCGGTCCTACTTCTTCCTTCGTCTACCATTTGTGGAGCACTCTGGACAGCGGTCGCCTCACCCCAGGGCTTGAACCTTCGCCCCAGTGCCGGCAAAAATGTTTCCCCGCCGGTTCTCTTGATGCGCATTCTTTCCGAGGATCTAGAACCCTGCGTGCAGGGCCCATGCGCGCGATGTCGACCCTGCTGGACGGTGAGCACCCTTCCCTCTAGAATGTGCGTGCTTACGAAATTATCTTCTCCTAGCATCGTCAACACAACATGGAGATTCTGAGCCCGCGGGCACTTTGTTCTTCCACTGTATCTAAAGAGTACAAGGAACCCTCGGCGATCATATGTTGAGACGACGACTCGGCTACAAATTCTGAGGACCGTGCCGTGTAATCTTCCTTCCTTCCTTCCTTCCTGACCAGAAAAAGGACTGTTCACACGACCGTGTAATTTCAAAAGAAAAATCTTCCGTTGCAACCGCCCAGGGCAGATTGACTGAGGCAACATTTGTTCAATCGATGGTGAGAAAAATGAATCCGAGTGGTCGCATCCGGTGAATGCCGCTCAACCATTTTATGCTCATTTCAATTCTCACTTCTGGATGCCGCCCAACACATTGGGAAGGCCACCGGCCAACGCCAGGACCAACCCTGACAAGTGTCCTGGCGTTGTCAAGACTCGTGAAGGAAGGCGGGATCATTGATATTGATTACTGCATAGAGACGTCAAGTGTTGCGTAAAAATGTGTGGTGAGGCTGTGCAGGCGTCTAAACCCGTGAGATTTCATATAAAATCCGCGCACGCGTTCGGGACCGCCTAGGCCTCTTTCTTCCCCCCTCTTTACCCCTGACAATCAAAGGCCATGGCGCGCGCGTTTTATTTATCTGGGATGGTCTTCCTCTTTCTTGCCTTGGTTCTGAGCTTCCTCTCATCCATCTCCCTTCCGTATCTCCCGGCCCTGGACTTTGCGCGCGTTAAATTCGCTACAGGCTTCTTCTCAGGGGGCTCGGCGTCGGATGAACTGAGTCAAGTGCGCGTAAGTGTTCCCGCTTTTTTCGCTGTTTTCCTCTCACTTTGTTT